CCATTCTAAGTCCGTGAGGTTCTTCATTTGACTCAGTTAAACAAAAGGTGAATAACACACACCAAGATTGGCCAATCTGTGTCTGGTTATGGAAACCGTTACGGCCGTCTCCCATTGGCTGTCTGGCTCGCTCGGTTGGTCCATCCGTTCAGTTTGATCAGACACCCGCATCACAACTCGGTTAAAGGGTATAGTTAGTTTTGCCAACTGCCCCAAACTATGTTCGCCGCTTACTCTGAAACATCCTAACCTCCTAATCGGGCAAGTCACATTCGACGTGACAACTATTACCCCATTCATGAAAGCTACATATGATGATTCGGTCAGGACACCGGCAGCTCAGAGCCGGGAGAAATAGCGCACAGATAAAAAGTCAGGTAACCTAGGCATCGGTCGCCTCGGCAAACATACCAACTGCTAAACACATAGATCCATCTTTTGTGTCGAGCACGAGCCGTGCAACGCGGCTTTCACCGTAAACGCCAGTGGCGCCTTCTAAACTGTTCAAGTCGCCATCAAAACTCAAACCGGCATTTGTTAGACAGAACCACACTGCGTTGACCCTAGTGTGCACTAACGTTTCTGAGTTTAAATCTGGTACCATAAAAGAAAAATTGCTAGATGATCGCAACTAGTGGAATTCCATCTACGACGCCATTGGTATCCAGATTGAGCTCACTTTTCCGAGACGCGTAGCATGTCGCCCGACCTCAGTGCGTTATGTTGAACTCCGAAGGCTTTGAGTAACTCTGAAATTAGCAGTTCGTTTTCGCACTTCACCGAGAAGAGTGCGAATATTACCTGTGGATTTTCATTGGAAAGATTATCCACTGGAAGCAGATGACAAAATTGGTGTACCACTCCGAAGTAATGCACAAGCTATTGAATAACTGGTTGAAGTTTCCCGTCAAGTTACCAACCGTGATTTGGCTAAAAGTGGCATGCACACGGCCACGAATGGTTAGCAATTCAATGGAACTTTTAACCTTAATAAATCCTGTCTCAGCATTCCCTCGGAGAGCCTGACACACCAACACCGACGGCATCCGACAGAAAGAGAGAAACTCGACAGAACATCGAGAGCTGGAGCGCTTTGGGACGTCATGCAGCCCAACTGAGATTCACAAGCCCAAAACCAAACAAAAAACGATTAGAAGTCGACCACCGAACGGCCGTCTTAGAACCCAACACGACGTTGATATCCAACAACGCACTCTAAATATCCAAAACACTACAATGTTAATACAATAACGCCAAAGGCATTAGAACACAAAACTTCTGCCTAGTATAACATCAAGAGGATATTTGTGAAGAAATTTCTTTCGACAAATACCGTCAGGCTCCTACAATTGTGAAGCAGATAATCAAAAGTTAGAAGAAACTATTACTAGCCATGCACAAATAAAAGTATGTCAGATGATAGGATCAACAGTAGAACAGATCGTATTACTTACACCAATTAATATCAGATCCCTCTTAGCACTTTGCTCGAACTCAACGAGCGCCATGATTCACAGCCGCGGAACCTCATTATGATTACAGAGACTTGATTAACCGTTGAGATAACCGGTTCTGAAATCAATTTACCCGGTGTATTTCTGCATCGGAACGACTGAGCTGGAAGGGTGGTGGTGCACTTCATTAACATAAAGCGAACATTCGACACGAACTTATTGATCACTCATAAATCTGCACCTCAGTTTCCCTTTGGTGCCGACTGTGAGTGCGGAACAAGGACGCATGTCTTGTAATCGTAATTTACCGTCCACCAAACGCTGCATTTGAAATGGACGCCAAACGGAACCACTTTTGCATGTCGCTTTGTAGAAGTCATACGGCCATATTCGCACCGCTGGAGATTTTAATGGGTATGACACGAAAATACCAGCAGCCGTAAGCCCACAGTTTGGGGACTGTTTGCAAGAACTAATTTCCAGATACCTTCTGCATAACCAAGTAACCTCTCCCATCAGATTTCGAACTACTAACAGGTCGTCGACGCTTGATCTTGAGCTTACCAATGAAGCAGTTATACTCGAAGGAATAGTTACAAGCACACCATTAGGTCACAGTGACCATGTTAATCTCCTGTTCGACTCCATATGCCAAGCGGAGTATCCTGAAGAGAACGATGAAATATATACGGTAACGCCCTTTAGCGAGTTATGCACTTTTGTTAAGGATACATATTGGACCTTTTAAACTGAATACCAAAGATGTCTTCTAGGAAACCTTCACTTAGACATTTAGCACACTGGCAGTGCACGCATCGAAACAGAAAACTTGTCATCGTCTAAGGAGAAGCAAGTCATTTCTGAGGAGCAGAACATGTAAATGCACGTCCCTGGTAGCTTTGGCATGCTGAGCTCACAAGAACTGTCAAAGACCGAAACCTAGACTGCATACGTGGTACAGCGTAACTTTCGTGTCTGGAAATGGTCCGCGAAGACAGGGTGACGCATCAGCAGGAGTTGATGAAGAGATTCTGTGCGAACTGCAAACTCTTTTAATGGCAGGTTACTGGCTTTCCTAAGGTATACCGCGCAGCTCTAGCACTGATGGGTACACGTGATTAGCAAAAGAAGCAGCCGATTTCTTACGGTTCCATTACTCTACTATGTTCAAGCAGGGGACGGGCCCAAATATTCTCGTTTCTATTATTCCACTATCAGGTTTATCCCTCATCACCACTGCAGAAGCTCTGTTGAAGTAGTTGTTATCCCTGCGCATCCATAGTTATTCTAGAGTCGATAATATTCGGTCGAAGTCTCTGCAAACAGTACCTAGTGATCTGGCAGAGCCACTGGCCATTTTTTTAGCAGCACTGTCTAGAGGAAAGCTAAATTCCACGAGTATGGAAGCGAGGGATCATCACGCCTATACATAAGGTGGTCGCATTGACGCTGGCAATTACTGTCCGATAAATCTGCTTCCTGTGTTTTTCAAAGTTATAGAATCAATCATCCCAGATCCGCTAGTGCAGTATCTGGAAAGCCACGACTTAAAAGCCCCGGAGCAACATGGCTTCTGACAACAAAGAGCATGTACTACTAAAATACTAATTACACGTAACAGCTGGACTGAGGCCGTTGGTGATGGAGCAGGACTCGATGTCATCTACCTGGACTTCTCAAAAGCGTTTGATCGCTTAGACCACTGCATTCTTTAATATAAACTTCAAAACCATGGCACTGACGACACAATCCTGTGTTGCAAAAGCCATTTTCTGCACGAACGTCGTCCGCACTTGAGAGTCCGGTACTCTCTCTCCCAAACAAATGATGTGGAGTGCAGCTTACCACAAGACTCAGTACTAGAAACCCGCCTATCCTTCGCGTTCATAAACGGTCTAACGAGATTAATTAATCTGATTTCATCTTCCTCTCAGATGATATTAAGATTTGGTGAGCGATCCGAGGACCAGAGCATCACGAGGGGCTCCAGTGCGATGTTAATACCAATTCGAACTTGTCAGTTCAGAAAGCCCTGTAGACAAATATCGCGGCGTTCAACTGCGCCATAACTATGAATACACGTAGTGGCTTGAGATACACATATTGCAGACCAGTTGCCTGGAAGGTGACCTGTGCTCGTACCCTGTGGTCACACAGGCTGAAACAGCTGCGAAAAGAGGCAACCAGCACTTTGGCCTGTTGCAAAAGGCATTCGGGAGATTTGATCCGTCAATCTTCCTGATGAAGCACAATTCCGATGTGCTCCTCTAAGTTGGATACATCATCCAAATTTAGCAAACTTGGTTGAAGCGGTACCTGGAGGTGAAAGGAACAGCACAACGCAAGACACCAACGAATTTCAAGGGTCTAAGCAAGTACTCTTACTTGGGAAGGCTGAAGTTGCTAAGAGTTTCATGTATACTCTACCGAAGGCTACGTAGTGATATTATATTAGTGTATGAAATGTTGGATGACCTCAGCCACTTACGCCGTCATTTGCTGTGACTTAAGCACAACACTAAGCTCAGAGTTAACTGCCTGAAACTGAGTGCACCATACAGCCGCCGAAAGTGTCGAAGGAAGTATTTTTCCCTTCAGAGTTGCGAACTCTGGAGCTCTCTCCCAAACTCATTTTCATCCTCTCCCACTCTTGCTAGTGTCCAAAAACGATTGGATGTTACTGTTAGCTCCCAGCACTTCGTTGCCTAAGCTGTACTACTGTTGCGTGTATTTATCTTGCCCTAATACGGGATTTGTCACAAGGACCCAAGGAAGTTGTACACGAGTAAGTTACCACATATTTATTTCTCTCGCGCTTTGAGTCAAATATCATTGCTCCCCATGTTGCTCCGTATTCTTGCATTCAATGTTAATTTTACGCTATCGTTATTTATCAGCGCATTTAACTCGGTAGATGACTCACATACTTTTTGACTTTGTAGTATTTATCGCGACCATCCTACTTAACTTGTAAAGCACTTGTTTTTAATTCGTGATAAATTGTTGTGCATTGTTCACTTCAACCAGATTTTCACTGTTGGATGCCACGTTTAAGCTTACTTCGAATCAAAAGGGATGTTACAGGAAGCCACGGTCGGTTGGACCAATGTGAGTGGTTCTCAAGGAGTCAGACTGTTATCGAGTTTCGCAAGACTACACAAAACAGATGCTCCCAAACCAGACACTGGAGTGATGACTATTGTGACCAACGTTCCGAGAGAACCTTCGTCGTGAAGTAATGAAGGAGGCTGACAGTAGACTCAGAGCCCTATGTTAGAGAGTAGACCTAGCTAATTCTATCTTAGATGTTCAAACAATAAGATAACCGCTCATGAGCTCCACTAATTGGTGAGATGAACACAAGGCTCCAGCTAGGTTGCACGCTTTTCGAAAATAATTGGCTGATATCCGAGCGAACAGGCAGAACAGATTTCCTCCATGACTAAATAGGGATTAGTAAAAAGAAATGTGTCCTTTGAAAATGGTTCTACGTGTGCTATCTAGCACGTACTTTTATTGAGGAAAAGAGGCAAAGTGAGTGCTCACCTGTGCTATCTGGCCCAGAGCTCGATGCATGACGTGAGTGTGCTCAATTAGTCGTTTCGTCGCTTTCAGATGGTCCTCATTGTCCTCTAACGAAGTGCCCAGGTCTTGCACAGATTCATCACCTTCTTCCGATGCCTCTGACTCCGGATGCAAGCTTCGTTTACCTCGTTTAAAAGCTTTCTTTCTGTGTTTGGACTCTGAACCGTCCAAGTATGATATCCCGGACCGAAGCTGGCTCATTGTCGATAAAATGCGGTCTCGGTCAGCCAACTAAAAGTGAAAGTAATGGGGCTAAGAGTATTGTTGCACAGTGATTCTGCATGACTGGCCGCAAAATGGTCAGGCAGGTTGCAAAACAAATTTGCTCAAGACAGTTCAGAGCCGTAAGCTAATTCTTGATTATATCTCAAGAGGAGTTTAATAAGTTCTAATAACACACTTTAGGTTGTGGTAATATATTAGGTAAATCACATTTCCATCTTTAAATATTAGAAACCCTCTCGACCTGTCAAAGCTGCACATCGCGTGAAGACACACGGTAAATATTAACCACACCAACCTGATTCCAGTTAACGTGTGTATGCACCCGAACAGGTGCACTTTCTCTGTCGAAGTAATACAAACAACGTCACTCAACTACATAATGAGAAGCTAAGAAACAATGGACGTGCAAGTATTTCCAAAGTGCAAGACCGCATTGCTGGGGATGACGCTCACCGAATATTTATGTGCAGTGACACGGAGCTACCATACAAGGTATGTTGGAAAATAGAAGCTGGAAGTTATCTTCCGCAGATGAGAGATGTCAGTTGGAAGAACACTGGATATATGCATTTAGGTATTCGCTAACAGTAAGACCAATGCAAGGCTCTAGATATCTCAATGATGCTGGAAAGTTACATTAACGATCACATAATGAAGCAGCCTCCAGTAGAGTCGAGGTGGGAAATTCATGTAGTCACAAATGCAGAAATCAATCTCTAAACTAACGGAAACAATTCTTATCCTAGAGCTTTAAAGATTTATCATTGAGGCGTATCGTACACGTGCAGGGAACGTCATCCTGTGTGTGTGTGTGTGTGTGTGTGTGTGTGTGTGTGTGTGTGTGCTTATAGCTGCTTGCAGTAGTTTACAGTGTATTAGAAATGCATGGAAATTGGCGCATCATAACCTTTCATGTGGCACGTTCTTATTCGATCGTCTGGTCGTAACTGAGGGATCGAAGATGTCCAAATTCGAGATCCACACACTATGAGACAAGTTCGTCAACGGGTTCGCTTTCATTAGTTGTAGACGGTACGGGAAACCTTTCGATGTACAACGGGCATGACAGTTATCCTATCTTACTTAGTCATATTCACTTAACTTTATCATACTAACTATTCGGCCTGTGTGACCCATACTGGATATCCCTACAAAGCTTGCATTTTTTACAAAGCTTCTCAACTTGTTGAAATTACTGTTTGTACTTCGGCTGTTTGTGACTTTCGGTTGCATTCCCTCTTTTATCAGGTATTTGTGAAGCATGTTTTACCCAAACAAAGGTTTTCTAGAGTCATCGTTATATGTTAAGACACAAAAGAAATGTTGCTTGACCTGGATCTTGTTAGCAGTCCTGGTTAACTCTCTCCGGGTGGACTGCGTGAGTAGACGCCTTAAGCCGCCAAATATGAACCAAAACAGTTAGGGTCTGCCATTAATGCAGCTTCTACCGTGACTAACATATGCAAATTCTTGTGTAGAGCTTTAAATTTGTCAAATATAGGACCAGATGTCGCATGTAATTGAGAGGACAGTCTGGTTACGAATGTAATGCACTGTGTCCACAGCAATGACTGGACTCAACTGGCTAGGTAGCATACTCGAATAAGTATCTTAGAGCTAATGCCTATTATGGGAATCCCATTTATCACTTTGTCAGATGATGACCTGTTACTTATTGGGGATCACGTATTGTGTCCTGTGGTATAAGTATTGAATTATTCAATAAGTCCGGAACAATAAGGGAGCTAGTCGGTCAACTGGAACACTTTTGACAACCTGCATAGCATAATGTGCTAGGATTTATCTCTCTTTAACTTGGCTGGACCCTAGTGACAAGCTAATGAATGAACAACTTTTGTATAGCTTCCAGTTTGGAGATAAACAGTATTCTCTGACGGCCTACACAAGTACTTGGTGAAAATCAGTCCCAAACTCCAGAGGAAAATATCATCATGTAGCAAAACGACTTTGCCCATGAATTTAAATGCACGAAACCAAGGAATGTTGAGCACCAAACTCAGCAGTAAAATTGCAGCAGATAACCATGTTCTAAGAGGCTCAGAAAAGTACGCAAATTAATGCATTTGCTTAACAGAAGAGATCCGAAGCGATACAGCGAGATTCCAACCCTAATATAAGGAATTGACACGGCAAAAGCCAGCATAAATGCGATACAAGGATCACTGAATTCTTGCTTCGTGGCCGCCTTCAGCCCTGACTTATCAGCGCCTTGTTATCCGCTCTGAAGAAAAATGGGAGGTTCGATTTGGCTCATCTCAATTAAATTCCAAGTCATAAAAGATAAGCTACCCATCCAGAATGCACCATTCATAACAAAAACCTAAGCCCTACCAGTCTTTAAAATGCTGTGTGGCTTCACGGCACTGACAAGGGAAGTCCTAACCCGGACGGCCAACTAATGTCCTTTGCACCGGCAGCAAGCTGCATGGCGGTGGAGGATGGGTCGGGCTATATCGTAGTTAGGTTTCATTCCGCGATGGTTGGCTTCCGTCCCCTATGGCTCAGTGGCATAAGCTGCTGCCTGGTTGCCGTTAGCCCCCAGCGGTCATGGGTTCGATCCCCATTAGAGAACCGAAAAAATGACGAGTCCCAATATGGCGAAACGCGGGTCCGGTGTTTTCCGGCTTGGTACCTTACCTTTACGGCTTAGAATCTAATTACGATGAACCAAACCGAGTCATAACCAAATCCGTCTACTCATTAGTAAAAAATTGTAGGGTTTACCCATAATAATGCAGATGAACGGCTACGGTTGCTTAGTAAGCCTCCTGGAGAAGGAGACTGTTCCAGCTGACTGCAGCTGCTATGTCATAGTCTTTGTTTCCAAAGTGAACTAATGTTTGGAAGGCGGTAATCAAAGACATAAAGCTGCTGGTTGCCTCTGTCGCTCTTCACAGTTTGACTGTTGCTCATGAAATCCAGATTCGTGAAGAGCAAGTCGAGTTTCGTCTAAATCTAGGCTGCATTGATCATCATTTTTCTTTGCGTCAACTAGTGAAGTACTGTCACTTAGACTGGCGACACACTCCAGTCGTGTTACTCGAAATCAAGGTGCTTTTGGTCCCATGGAGCGATGCGTCCTTAGTAAACTGTTTGATCAGGAAATGTGTGTTCGAGAAACACGTAAATATTGTTAAAACGTTGGAAGCGCATAGTTCGAGTTACATCGGGGCCTATAGCGAGCAGTCACCATCCTTCAATATCTCCAGCATTGTGGGAAAGAGATGCACGTTAACACATTACTTTGCCAACTTCGTTATTACTGATATCATTGTAACTGCTTTCACCAGATATGAACTGTCATGTGCGCAGCAGTTTCTGGACGACCGGCTTCTAGACTTAGCCTGACGATAATTTTCTACTTTGTAAATTCTCAAAAAAGTATTAAGTGACAATAAACAAACTGGCTCTGTCTGTCATTCGTTTTAGGCTTCGTTTTGCAGTCTACACGTCTAAAGTCCTTCTCCAACATTGGTGGAAAGCACGCTTTGAACTGAAGCGAATTAGCGATCGGTCAGAAATCATGCAGAAATTCAACTATATAATAAGCTGTAGCCGTGGCTGCGGAATAAAGGGCGAAGTGGCATAGCATAAGATTGAGGTGATTTGTTCAACTTCGCCACTTATGGCGCAGGAGCAACATCTGTCGTTTTGAAGGGTAGAGTCTACAAAGCGGGCATCCCTTCAACCGTACTGTGCGGCTGTGAAACCTGACGCACCAGCTAGACAAACATAAAGTAACTTTTTACCTTCTGCCACAAGTGCATTTGCAACAGCTCATATCAGGTGGGAACACTTCACGTGCAATAAACATGCTTTGCGACCCACATGTGGTGTAGCAAACTGCTCAGGAACGCAGAATAACCCTACTGACTGTTAACTATTTCAAGCAGCTTCTTGACAGGAACCCATCAAACACAGTCCTGACACCCGAATCAACAGACTCCTAGTACTCATCTCGACCAATAACATCCTGACATCCTATTGTAGCAACGCAGACGTAGATGCCGTCAAAGCTACATATTAGTAGTTTACGTTCAACCATCGCGTTGGATCCGAAAAACCAACCTTTCCTCTATGCAAATGTTGTCCTTGTCACTGCCCCTTGGTGTAGACCTTATTAGTTAATTTCTTAATTCCACTCCCTTCGTCTTTTCATTAGGGTATACATAGGATGATTCAGTAAGGTTTAGTTAATAAATGAGAGAAATTCCCTCTGCAAACTGGTGACTCTTTTAAGCCAGACGACTCTCCAGTAAACGTCTCACCTGGTTGCTATACCGTAACCTTCAAAGAACTAGAAAACTACTATCGGAAGGTCGTAACCCAGCAACACATTACTGATATCTTAAACACAGGGTCGCTCAGCACCATTATTTTACGCGCCAGGCTCCGATGTCCAGGTCATGTGATTTGCATGTTAGCGCACCGACTCCTGCTACCTGCGTTGTATGCGCGAGCGGATTCTGGCTAGAGGAAGAGCAGAAGAGGCCAATGTGGGAATTTGTCACGAGGAATGAGGGCGCTAACTTAGAGACTGGCCTTGACCACGATTGTTGCCTTCGGACTCCCGGGTTGGGGTCCTAAAGACAATGAACGCACTTGGTTGTAAACACTTGTTGACATGGCAACAGGTAGTATGCTTTGCGAGTCTCTTTGTCTACTCTTCCAGCTACAACCACAATATTGACTTATAAGGAACAATGCGCAAATCATTTAGCGCTGATTTGTTTTCTCCTGCTATTGTTTATTTATTACCTTTGAGTCTGTGTATGTGCTTTGGGCTGCGCACAATAGGTGTGGTGTCCTTCACCTCTAGCTAACGTGTATGTGATAATTAAAAATACTCGCTATTCTTACAGAATGCCAGACAAGACATCTGCTGAAATTGTCTCCTACTGAGGTACTTCCACCTATGGAGTAAACTACCAACCCAGCCAAAGGGTAAGCGATAACTAGTTTACAACTGAACGCCTTCGAAAACT